TGCAAATCTTGTGCCTGGTCTCTCTCCTTTCTCCTGTTGCCTGTCTGCCCTGCTCCAGGATTTCAGTGAAATGCTCATCCCATTTCCTTGTGCCACACTAGGGTGTATGTTTTAGCCCTCATGGAGAGCAGAGACCCAAGAGCTGAGTGTGTAGGGAATGCTTCCGGAACCCAGACCATTTCACTTCTAGAAACTCAGAATTATGGGAAATTTGGGCTAGAAGGAGCTCAAGAGTTGCCTCTATCCTAGTGAATCTTCCTGGCCAGGGCAGACTACACCAATGCTGCCTCCACATCCAGTACAAATTTCCCTTCACATCTCGCCTGAACCCACTACTTATGTCTTCCTGGATCTAAGGACACTATGGACACCTGTGGACACTGCAGTCTGTTTAGTCTCCCTACATCTGTTTTGCTTACATATATGGCTTCTAAGTCCCTCCACAAAACCCACATTTTTTGCCGGTGGACTCTTCCATTTCCCAGAGATCCAGCAAGCTCCAGTGACCGGAAGCTGGAACGTGACCTATTCAGATTAGAAGCAGGGCTTAAATTCAAACAACACAGGTAGTTTAACAACTGTGACAATTTACCACAGGCTGTGCTGGCATCAGTGATGGGCAGTTTAAAATTAGGATACCGGAAATTTTTAAACCATCGCTGTGTTTCAAAAAGGAATTAATCCAGAAGCATCCTCTACTTAGTGTTTACCCTGTGCTATATTATCCTATAATTGGTTGTTAGGTCAGGATTGCAACCTGGCAGGTTCCTCTTCCTTGCCTAATTAGTGCTTCTTCCTCATTGCTCAGTGAAGGACTTGTTATTTTCCCCCTACAAAATCTCCTTCTCCTGTGCACACTCCCTCACAACACAAACTTATACCCTCTTCCCCCGACAGTGATCCAGCCCTTCACATGCAGAAGAGCTGCTGTTGGCTCAAACTGACACGAAGCTTCTAAATAACGAGCTGTTCAGTCTGACGGGCTCGAGGCAAAGTGTTCCAAACCTGGCAGCCCAGCCAATTCACCACTCAGACACTGCACATTTCCCTCCTGCCTGATTGGCAGCCCTGCAGTGACATGAGTCATTTGCCTTCCCCTCCTCTTAAACCCTGGACTTTCCTGGGGCCAAGCCAACACATGGCACTGCACAGAGGTGTGCCACGTGAAGACCTGGCTCCTGCTGTGACAAATCCTCCTCTATGGCACAACGGGTCTGCTGTGCCTTACCCCAGCCCTGGCACCTGGCTTACATAGGGTGTAAGCTCCTCATAGCAAGAGCCCTGTCTGTCTTCAGCTGCATGAAGTGCCTGTAAATCCACGGGGCGAGAGCCAAAACACCGCATCACCCTAGTCATACTGCAAATCTCTTATCTCTCTAGCACCCTGAGCTAGGCTCAGCCAACTGCATCCTGTGTCTTGGCCTTGAAAACATGGCTCATTTCTCATCCCAGCCAATGGTCCTGCTCTTGCAAAATCTGGTATCAAGGCCAGCAGAACCTGGCTCCTCATGTGAGACCACACATGAATATTGTACCAGGTCCTAGACAGAGCAGTACCAGAAACACTGGGCAACATCAAACTGGAATGGAAAGAGAGGCAAACTGGAAGGGTTTTGCAGAAACCCCAAATTAAACCAGAGTGAGATGTCTGCCACAATGCATTAGGGAAGATTAAAAGAGTTAATCTGCATGGCTTTGCTGAACAGCACAACTCGACAGCAATAGCCTGGATTCAGAGGAAGATAAGACACTGCACCCTGGTACAGGGAACTGGCATTAGAGGTAATGAGGTGACACAAGTTTGGACAACGAGAGCTATTTGAGTAATTAGGAATAGGATGCAGTAGCTGGCTCACCTATATCTAGACACAAATTTGTACAGCAGGGGAAGAAGCTTGGCCTTCCCTTGCTTCTTCCAGAGCAAACAGAGCAAGCGTTTGCTGGGACTGCCTTGCCCTAGGCACCACTGTATGTCCCACAGTGTTTTGCAAGGACATTATTTACCCCGGGTAGGATACAGAGGTCTTTGCAGATTCCTCCTTAGGATTGCTTGAGGCTCTATGTGGTGAGGCACTACAGGATACATGGGTTGTTGCATTAAAGCTGGCAACACGGGCAACAAGGAGTGCAGATCCCAGAGCACACAGCACTTCAGCTCCTCAGAGGACCATACTTCTTCCAACAGCACAAAGTGGCTTACCCAAACAGCCCAAAGCTTGCCCTCAGGAGTGGGGGAATCTTATCAGATCAGCCTGTAATTTCCTCTGCTTCCACAGCACAAGCAAGTATGCAAAGAAGTAAGATGACATTTGGCTTCTTGCAGAGAACAGGAGATAATTTAACGAGATTAAAGGACAGCCTCCTCTCCCACAGAAACTATCTCTGCATGGCTGGGCAGTAACCTGGCCCTGCTGGAATGATGCTGCTCGAGCGCCTCTCTGTGGATATGAGCTCCTCTTCCTCCCTCTCACAGCCTTCTTAATCCATCAAATGATTTTTAACTTTATTTTACTTTTTTAAAATACAGAGCCAAATGGCTCCTATTATACCCAGGCAGTACCTCTGAGTTCACTGAACTTGGCACTGAGCTAGGAGTTGGCCAAGCCAGAACTCTTACAGTTTCATCATTTGATGGTTATATATATATATATGATACCTCTCAAGGCCTTTCTATAGTTTCCAGCAGCAGAATAGCTCAAATTGGAACAGACCTACAGTTGCCTAAGGCTCACGGAGTGACCAGGAATGAAAGCATAGCTGGCAAGGGCGTCATCTTTGAAATAAGTAATCAGGTACCTGTGTTTCTCTCCAGAACGTGCTGTGGAGCTCAGCACACAGTTCCATCACCAACACACATGTCAACACACTGATCATGCCAATTTCTCTGTATCCCTTCGAAGAAGCAGGAAACAAATGGTCCCCTGCTGAAATCATGAGTGAAAACAAAGGCTCTTCATCAGCCTCCTGCAGCTGCTTGTTGTTTTCCTTTCTCTGTGGAGCCTGCCAGCTCCTGGTTATCTTGGCCAAGCACATGATTAGAGTCTTAGAGCAAATTCTAACTGCAAACAAACAAGTACATCTTGAGATGAATACACACAAACTGGCGGATGTCTAACTGTTTGGCACATCCTGTCCTGCCTCTTCTGGTATTAGGCAGGCCCTGCTCCTCTACTGGATGGAAAGCAGATGGGGTAGGATTCAGGGTAAAGATCCCCAAGCCCTTTACATTTGCACAAATAGCAAGAACTAGACCCAGTGCTGTTCAAGGGGCCACGTATTAGTTGTGCTGGGTTTCTGCAGCATGGGAAGCAATGCAGGAATAGGAATTCCTGCCCCAAGTAATCCCCCATGCCTGGTTATGCCAGACAGTCCACTGTTTCTAAAAGTACCATAGAAACAAAATAACTAAGTTGTACAGCCACCACAACAAGAACAGAAGAAAGGATCAAGGGCTGTTCCTTGTTCACTTTCGGTGCTGAACCAGGTGGCTCAGTTTAAACTGGCATTGAAGGTTGGTTTGTGCTAACCTGCTTCACTTCTCACTGAAGCAGATGGCAAGTGCTCACACAACCCAGTATCAATATCTGTAACAATCAGATGAGCTGTGAAGCTGTAATCTGTGGCAGATGGAAAACGACAGCACAAAAGGTTTTACTACAGCCCTCAAAGGTAGCAAAGCCCTTCACAAAGGTAGCAAATAGGAAGGTTTAATTCAAATAGCTTGTCCTTCTCCAGAGCAAAGCCAGGCATCTGAGACTGTAAAACAAGGGGGATGCTTCTCCCTTTTCCTACCTCCCCAAAAGACTGGCTGATTTCATTTCCAGAGGATGAAATGAAATCTCTCATCAAAACTCAGCCGAAAACATGACAACTTGCTGTGAAAAACTGAAATGGGACCTTGCCATGGGAGCATCTACACAGCTCCATCTGTGCTGAATCCCTGGCAGCCTTCATTGGTGCTTTGCTGAACCTCTGTGGGAGGCACTAGAGTGAGACCTAGAAAAAAAACAACTCCCCCATGCACACAGATTGGAGTGGTTCCTGGCAGATTTGTCAGATTCCTTGTGGGTTATGCAGTTATCCTGGAAGCACAATCAGTTTGAGAAAGACTGGGGATTTCTCATGGGGTTTATGCTCAAGAAAGCATATGTTTGCTATGGTCGAGAATGGATGTTTTGAGTCATCTCATCTAAAGCCCTTCAGGTTCCAGAGGGCCCCTGACCACCTGAAGAGCAACAAAGATACCCAGTGCAAAACGCAGGTAGGCTCTCAGCTCCCAACTGAGTAACCACAGTTGAGATGCTGTCAGTCTCCCACAGGACTACAGACCTGAAAATATTGACAAGTGACAGACTGACCAGGGAGCCTGCATACCTTTTTGCCCCATCGGTCAAATATACAGGGCAAGCTATTAACTTAATACACTTCTGGAGTAAGAAACAAATGCATGGCATTGTCCTTGCCAGTTCTTTGTCCTGTATTGCCTGTAAGAGGGATGCTTCAGCTTTTTATGGCCTTTGACCATTGTGCTGGTCATGTTCCTGGCCTGTCTTTGGCTCAGCACAGCCCTGACTTCTCCGAACCCCTCAGCTTTCTGTCCTGCTCTTTAGTGACATTCTTGGCTCTAACACCAGTTTTATCCTGACCTTAACCCAGAGAGCTTGTCCACACATTTTCAGGCTGCAATTCCTAAGCAGTCTTATCCCCAAACTGCCTGCTTTGAAGTCAAAAGAAACAACTAGCCTGCAGAACAGCCTATGTCAGGCCTGTCACTTCAGACTCGGCTGTGTCACTGCTGCTTAGCACTGCTATGCTCTGGGGGATGACACCTTCATGGCCAATTTGCTGCCTGCTTTGAAATGACCAGGTTTCTTGTTAAGCACAGGGATGCTGCTGGCTGCCCATCTAGGTGGGAGCAGAAGATGAGACTTACTGGTGAGCCTCAGCAACACAAAGACAGAACAGAGTCTGATAAAATGCCAGTCCTATGAAGAGCAAGAGATTTTTACTGAAGAAAGGTTTTATTAAGGGCCATTGTTATCATAATAACATACCATATTGCTCTGATGCTCCAGGTCTCTGGGAGCGTGATGATTTGAATAGAGTATCTGTCAAAACATCAGTTCTGGATCAGAGGTTTACAGACTGTGATAGAGCAGAGCCTGCCCCTCAGGATGCAAGGCTGGCTACTGCTTCTTCTGTCCCTTCACTTTCTGTTTCTCCTTATCCATGGCAGCTGCTCGTGCCTTCAGACAACTCCAGTACTTAGGCTCTTCCAGTCCTAGCGGGCTCTGCTGCCTAATGAAGGGAGAGAAAGAGTGGTTAAAACAAAAATGTCCCTGACATTCCCCCAGTGCTCAGACAACTCCCCCAGGGGTGCCCGGGGCCCACTACAAATTAAGCAGTTCGACTTCTTGTGTCCAAAAAACCTCAATGATTCCCTCACAAGAATCAACGCTGAAGTTTACTGCTCTTGACAGCAATGACCTCTGAATTACTTGTTGCCTGTAACCTCTGTAGACATAGGTCTCACTGCAGCTGTATTTGCACTGCTCTGGCTTCGGGTCTCAGTTCCCAGGGAGTAAAATAACTCTTCAGTACCCAGGGAGCAAGATGTTCCTGGAGGTGGCATCTCCCCAGTTTTTCTAGTATAAGGCAGACAAGAATCTCCAGCTTTATGAGAAGGAGGGACAGAACTGGTGGCTGGTAACACAGGAGTAATTTTTCTGCACTTAATTAGCCAGACAACACTACAGGATTCACCCTGGAGACAAGGAATTAGGGAAGGCTACCAGGTTGTGCTGTAAGATCATACCTGCACCCACCTGTTACGTTTCAAATTGGAGAATTAAGGCATAGTGAAAAGAAGATAAAAAACATTGACACGGATCTGGCTCCAGGTTCCCAAAGCAGTAATTCAAGGCGAAGGACCCAAAAAAGAGATGTCACAGTGCCATCTAGTGACGGCATCCATGCAATGCATCAGCTAAACTGCGAACTCGGTCCGAGAGTGATGGTCTCAAATCGAAGAACCTCCAAGACAAACCTACTTAAACATCAAATAAACCCGGGAGTGGAGGGGAGAAGAGAGGTATAAGGAGACCCCAGCTCTGCCTGGCTGTGGGATCAAAAGGAAAATGCAGACACTTGAGGATCATAATCCATAACAAGCTCGCACGATCTGTGTTGCAGAAAAGCACATTAGAACCAGCAAGCTCTCTCCACCTGGAAAGACAAGCCTGTGCCAGGCATCCCGACTTACATTTGAAGCTGTAGTAGGAAGGAGAGAAGGAGAAGAGGAAAGGTTCTGGGAGGCTGTCAGGAATCCAGCTTCCTGAACATTAACCTCACGCAGACACAAATCTGTCACAGCATACAGAACAACCCAGAAGATCCAGGGTGAGACCTTGCACGAACCTCAGCAACACTAGGGGGTTTACAGTAATGCAGGTGCACTTACCTCTCAGGTAGAAGGAGAAACTTACCTATCACGCAAGAAAATGTTACATCTCTCAAACCATGGCAGGTTCTGCAAGGATTTGTGAGGCAAATCTGGTTCCTTTGGGAAAGCCTCCTTCAGTGGGTTGAAATCAAAAAGGAAGATGGTGCTGTGACTGGCTTTGCTCTGTGCCAATTCATTGTCTTGCTGCTGCTCATCTCCTAGACAGAAATGAGCACAGTGAGCTGCTGCATCAGAAGTCATCCAATAAGAACTATCAAGGATCAGGACACAGCTGAATGCACCCAGAGATCGTGTATCTATGACCACTCCAAGGTCATAGATACCCACCTCGAAGCAGCAAGCAGGAATTTACACTATCCACTGTGAACACTGGCTGCCAGGGGGATGCTACAGCATGAGAAGGTGGAGTACTGAAGCAGTAAAGAGTCTGTGATGTGTCAGTGTTCATCAAGGACACTGTGCCATCCCAGGAGAAGATCAGGACCTGAAACAGCAAACTGACACTTAGAAATAGATGTAAAAGAAGTGAAAAACATTTCCTGGAAAGGACATGGAATGATATTCAGAACTTTACATCCACAACTATGATGCTATTTTCTTTGCCTGCCCCATAGTCATATGGCCACAGCAGATCAAGAGCAGGTCATGCAGGGAACTTGAACTGAATTGCTGCACGTTGGGATTGGAAAAGGGCAACAGGGCACATTAGAAATGAACTAGATCCAGCCTTCTGCATGGCTGCTATGGTGAGTGGCTTTTAGTCCTTGTCTCCGCCTTTCTGAGGCCACTTGAAAGGTCTGGCTGGACTTATGTTTCTAACTTCCTCACCATGATGCCCCCTCATATTTGACCCTGATGCCTGAAGCTTCATGGCTGAACCCTCTCCTCTTTCAGTTGGACCCGTCCATGTGCAGAGGGCCTCGAGTGCCTCCCACCTCAGTGGTCAACTAGAGGGCACAGGTGCCAGGGAATACTGAGCAATGGAAGAGAAACCCTTTGACCATTGCCAGCTACATATAGACCTATAACTGGTGCAGGCAGTCTTCATGCTAAAAATAGCTGGAGGCTGGGAAAGGATGTGAGGGCAGAACCATATCTGATTGCCCTGTTCTTTATCTTCTAGGCACCCAGTTACAGTCATTACTGGAAACAAGATCGTACGTCAACTGGACATGTGTTCTCAGCCAGTTCTCAAGAGCTGGCAGTAATACTCACTGCACTGGGGAAGGCCAGGATGGGCACCACCGCACTGACAGTAAGATTTGGGTCTTCAGGCCTGTAAAAGAACAGGTTTATGTCGCTGTTCCATGTACCTGGCAGATACTGAGAGGCTGTGATAAAGACAGTGGCAGTTTGTGGCACACTGGCTGGCATGAAGTTCCAGCCAAGCCCTCTCCCTATACAGACAAAGCCTGTCTCCTTCTGCATAGGAACCCCTGAGGCCTATCCCTGTGCAAACCTGCCTAGGAACTACCTTGGAGTTACAAATCTCCTGCCTGCCGTGGAGGCATGGATCCAGAGTCTTCAGAGCAGCAGCTTCCCTTCTCCTCAAACCAAGGGGATAAGTGAACACAAAAATGATAGAAAGATGGCAACAAATATTTATTTTGACTTTTAGGGGGAAGTTACTCTGTTAAGGGCAAAAAAGAGAAGAAAAAATTCCCCTGGGTACCTGACAGAGACAGAAATAGTTCAACGCCAGCTCTGGAGCTGTGCTACAAGTACTTGTATTTTGGTGCACAGAAGAGCTGAAAAACACCTCTAATTCTGGCATAACCACTGAATTTTAGCACGAGCAAAACCACACTTGCTGATGACAGCAGCATGGCAGAGCCCTCTGGGTAAAAGCAGTAGAAAGTTCTCTACTCTACAGAAATCTGGGGCTCCCTGTTAGACCTGACCACTGTACCCAGGGCTTCTTTGGCTGGAGTGAGGTCTATCAGAGTCCACCTCACCTGTCTGCCAGGAGTGTGATGCTGGACTTCCCGGCCTGGGGTGCTTTCACCAAATAGTAAGAGCTGTCTGTACATAGCACGAGAAGCTGCACAATGGGACAGACAGGATCTGTACCAGGACAAGGTGTGTCATCACTGGCAGCTGCAGAACTCCGCAGAAAGTGGATACTACGGATGAAACGTTCCTCTAGAATGGCAGTTACAGACAGTGGGAATCCTGAGGAAGAAAAAGGAACTGGCAATTTATCCAAGGAAAGCTTAGCTTGGACTGTGGCCTGCTCAGAGGAAGCAGCCACCAGAACAAGCTTGATGGCAGAAGAAGATTCTTCCACCAGGAGAAACCCTGCATCATGGTAGGATGACACTGGCACTGATGGCAGCCTGAACTGTGATGCCACAACAGTCTCAAAGATGACCTGAGAGTGCAGTGGCAAAGCAGTGACTGACACTGTCTCCCAGCCTCAGCGCAAGACCATTTTCAGTCCTCCCTGCAGCAGTTCCAGCCCCTGCAGTGCCGTGGATGGGAATGGCTCTGCAAGGGCAAGGGAAATCACACTGTGCTGGTGACTTCTGGCCAAGCATCTGATGGACTACTGAATCCAAACTATTTACAGATTTGCTTGTGAACTCACTACCAGCCACTTGTTCATACTAAGCCAGAGCCTCAGGCTCCTAGGGAAGGGAGTAATTTATCCACAGTGATCCCAATACACAGTCCCAAAGGGCAAGCTCACCTAGGTGTTTATCCCAAATAGTTATTATTGCATCTTCACCTGCCAGTGCCAGGTACCTGGAGCAGGAACTGACAGCCGAGCATGCAATCGGAGCTGCACAAGGCCACACAACATCAGGTTTCAGATCAGAATCTAAACAGAATGACACGGAGAGACACAACTGTAAGAAGGTGCAGAGCATTCTCTCTCATGGTACTAGCATCCATTTTCCCAATAAAACATGCACCATTCTGCAGTCTCCTGCCAGAGTGTCTTCACTAAAAAGACTGTCAGCCTGTGCAACACAGAGCCCCACAATCCCAATGCCAGTCTAACCCAGAAGATATGAGTCAGCTCTCCTCCCAATTCCTCATTTCCCTGAATCACAAAGACCTGGCAGAATAACAGCCACTGGCCACAGAATACTCCTACTCCCCACAGAGTGCTCTGCTAGAGAAAGCAAGACTTTCTTACCCACTTGCTCATTGAGTGGATGATTAAGTAAGTACAAGCAGAAATTGTGGTTTCCACCCCAGTGCACACCAATGCCAGCTGGAACATCTGGTACAGAGAAGAGGACAACAAAAAGAGAAGGACACTTGAGACAAAGAAAGGAACAATCCAAGACAAAAAACATCATTAAAAAGCTCTCATTAGAGCATTCATGGTTTCCCTGATGGAAAATCTGCTCATACAGAAACTAAACCAGATAACCTCTCCCTTTGTTATTTTTATCTTGCCTACGTGCCTCCAGTTTTTGGGTGTTTTTTGGGGGTAGTAGAGTTGTGGGCTTTTTTTTAAACTATGGAGATAAGTTTTTTTTACTCCATGCTGGTAACTGACTAACAAGTCTTAAGGCTGACAGTTTTATCCAGGCTTATGTCCTTGGAGGTGGAATTTATAGAGTGAACCCAAGCCAGAACCACTGAGCTCTAAGTGGAGTTCAACATCATGCAAACAATGTACTTCATAGATTAACAGCTTTTTCCCATTTGGATTACCTGGTTGTACTTCCATATCAGGTCCCACCTGTAGGACCTGGTTAGGCAGAAGGAAATGAAAGGTAGCATGTCTGAAAAAAAGGAACAAATATATGTAAAAGAAAGGCTTTTATAAGAGCACAGTACTGTGACAAGACCTGAAATGTCTGCAGCCCCCTGCCATGAAGCCTTGGGATGAAGGAGGCAAAGACAGAGGCTTCCATCTACACTTGCTGAGTGCCCTGTGTTGATGACTCATGGACTGAAATCCTGGTTGGTGCTCCCACTCACCTGGGGACCTCCTCCTTGATCACACCCTCAGCCTCCAGATACTCCCGGTATGTGCTACGGAAGATTGTTTCCTGCAGCTCCCACTGGAAATCCTTGATCAGGTGATTGTACCCCAAGCCAAGCATACTGCCATCATCCACTTCCTTCAAGGCATCCAATGGGCTTTCAAAACTACTGCCTGGATTGAGAACACAAAGGGAAAAGGCATGACCCTGGAGGAGCAGACAGCATGGAGGCATTTTGACTTTGGGGTGGCATTGTCTTGAAGCAGGACACTGCAACTGCTGTGGGAATTTCCATATCACTAGTCCATTTTCCAGTATTTGAAGGCAGGGACTAGGGCAAGACTTCTGAGGACCCTGCTCACCTTGCCTTTCTGTGGCATTCTCCCAGCATAAAGTCTGTTCCCTCCACATCCTCAGTATTTTCCTATAAATCCAGAGTGATGAACTAGGGGTGCTGTCAGGGTCCAGGAAGCAACCTCCTCCCTCTCCAATGACACTGAAGCCAAGGGTATATGACACCCACTTTGAGACACACTGAAATATTTTGTGCTGACAAGGATGACACGCGAGATGGCCCAGTAGGAAACAACTCCCAGTACAGGATTACATGTAACTAGAAAGACAAGTCAGGAAGGGACCATGGAGCATGTTACTGAAACTTTCTGACCTGTTCTATATTTATAAGGGCCATGATTCTTTTGCCACCTGAAACAGGCTGCAGGTTGCACACAGAGAATGAGTTCTGACCTGTAATGGGTTTGGGTGGCTTCACTGTCAGCAGCAGCACTGGGAGATCCAGCTTTGGACCATCTTGGTTTGCAGACACTGGAAAGTCCTGCAACGGGAAAGTGTTGAAAACTGCATTGTGCACTACACTGATGAGTTTTCAGCTGTTCATGGGAATCAAAAGCTTCCTAAAGAATGTGTATGCAAAGGTTGGCTGGCACTGTTAGGAGATACTGGGTTTAGGCTCATTCTTCAGGCCAAAACACAGAAGCGTCGCTCCTTTCTCAACAACAGGGGACAACATTACAAAGGATGTCCTGTACAGACTCCTGGTTTTGTGCCATCTCTGAATTATTCTTGTTGCAGCACAGGCCTGTGTGAGTCACAGCAGTGCTCAGAAAATACAGGGGGGAAAAAAAGAAAGAAAAAAAAGGAAAATAAGCAGGACTAAAGGTTGAGGGGTGCTAATGAAGACAAGAACCAGATTTTACTTCATAGAACCCAGGACTGGAAAAGGTGACTTATATGCTTAGCTGGAAATAGAAAATTGTAACAGGGGACCAGTACTGGCATGTGCCCACCATCACCACCCCACACATATTTAGACCTGGCTAAACAGAAAAGGTGTGCCTAAATAATCAACCATGTCTGAGAAGGAAGAGGCAGGAACTTGGGTAGTTTACATGGAATCAACAAAGAGGGACTCCCTAGGTGTTTGCTTTTGGCTCAGCTAAGTTAAGGGGTATGTTTGTCCTAAAGGCAGGGCTGAGAAGCAGCTCCCTCTTAAACGTCCAGGAAAGTCTTTGCCAAAGGAAGAGGAAACAGTTAGGAGGCAGGTATCACAGAGGGTTAGCTGGAGGTGCTGGTCAGGACATGCCTGTGTGTTGAGAGGTGAAATCTAGCAGGGTGAAAGTGATAGAGGGGTGATTATGCCCTGACTCAGCATTTAAAATTCCCCATAACAGCTCAGGATAGTCACTGAGGGCACTTACCATCTCTGCAGAACTGTCTTCATGCAGTTCCTGAGTTTCCTGCCCAAGAACCAGAGGTGACAGTGGTTAGTGCACACAGACAGAGACTGTCTCCTGCTCAGGTGGGTGAGGCTGTTACCCACCAGGCTCCTCATGTTAGGTAGTCTAAAACACAAACCCTGTCTCAGGGCCAGACTCCCCCAGGGAGGCATCCTGCCTGATTCCCACTCCACCTTCCCCCAGTAACATAAGAGAGAAGCCCTGTGGGAATACCCTTACACAGGCCCCTCTCAAATGGGGCAATACTGCTAGAAAATCAGCTGCCAGTTTCAGGGAGGGGCAGCAGGAACACTAACCCTGGGACCAAGGGAATCTCGTTGGAAAGCCTGTCTTGGGAGAGTAAACATGGCCCAATAACACAAAGGCCTTATGAAATGTGGGATGGGCAGCTGTAGTAGTTGTAGAGACACACACACCATCCCCTTGGGCCAACAGACTTGTTCAGCCTGTATCTTGCTGTCACTGTCTGCAGCAGCAAGGCTTGGGGAAAGACCTGTGGGCAAAAGGCTGTAAGGAAAAATAGCACAGTGGGAGATGGAACTGTTTTGTACCACAGATGTACGGCTTGGCCTCCTCTCACTGCAAGCCAGCCCTGCTGCAGCTTCTGAGTTCTCTTCCATCTCCCTCAGCCAGGAATCCTTAGGCAATTGGTAGATCTCCAGCCAAGCTTTTGTGCTGTCTGCATTGGGAAACCATGTTGAGCAATTAGAAATGAGGAGAAAAGGTCTTTCAAGCAAGCAGCCTCTGTTATCATGTATTTTTTGAATATAAAATCTCTGAACTCCATGCAGTCCACCTCTCCTCCCACTGAAGGCCTGACATGCTGGACTGAAACTCATATCTCAGCCTCCAGCTCTAGTCCTTGAGGTCCCATACCCACCAAAGAAATTCCATGAAGCTACTCGGTCAAGAATTTGACCTGTAGCCTCTGAGTAGCAGAGTAGAAAGTAGAAAGTGAGACGTGGTCTCACATTAGTTCTCTGTGGATGCTACATATCTCATACTCAGTATGTGTCCAGGCAGATTCCACCAAACGTGGGTCCAGAAAACCTGTCTGCAGTGGATTCACTAAGACAACTGCCATGAAACAGAAGAATGTTGTAGCAAGGAGTTTCTTGTCAAGTTTCTAGAAATTCTCTATGCTGTCTGACTTTTGTCTACAGAGAAAATTCTTCGGTCTACCTATTCCCAGTGTAAAAGTGAGCCATGGCAAAACAGAGGAAAAACTGAGTTTGAGACTCCTGGAGAGGAGGGGGAAATCTGCTTTCACTGAGCTTTCTGGGAGCTGGGAACTGCACTGACTGGTTCCAGACAGCTCACTTTTAGGATCAGTCCTGGTCCCCATCAAGCCTTTTAGAGAGGACAAGGAGTGGTAGGAGCAGCTCTCTAAGCTGGAGGAGGGACTGGGAGGGTTATAACAGGATCCCTGTGTACCCAGAACATTTGCAGCATTTTAAAAGCATTGCTGCTGGCCCTTCTGCTGTGTGACAGAGCACAGCAGTTGTCACCCAACACACCATGTTTCTGCACTTGCCTTGCAGCAGGACTCCTGCGTAATCACCGCCCAGGGACAGCACCACCTCCACACAAGTGCTTCTCTTGCTGATATCCCCCTGCCAAAGGAAAACAGGCTGGCATCAAAGCAGGATCACTGATTCAGAGAACTCTGTGGCCTTACGCAGCTTTCAACAGGCTGAAGGCCAGGCAGATTGTTGGAAGAATGGGAATAAATATTGGGCAGCACTCCTGGAGTGCTGCTGCCCGTGGCAGAAATTCCTGATGGCAATTAGTACTCCTCATGATTGATTACTTACCAGCCTGTGCCCAGGGTCTATGGAATTAACTCAGTACTTACCACTTCATTTAGGGCTTTAATGAGCAGGAAGCTTTCCTTATGAAAGCAGAAGAGCCAGACAAGCCCTGGAATAGAAATACAGAAGTAGCAGGAGGAGGAGGAGAAAAGTGAACAGATGGTAGCCATGGTTTTGGGAGATGGTTGTTACAACATGTGCAGTAGAGTGAACAGGACTACATTTTTTTCCTGGGCTCAAGGAACAATATCCCACTGTTTCCAGCACTAAACTTTTGCTGGCTTCCTTATGCCATCACCAGCAAACATTTGATTGTGCATGGAGATGGTTAAGCCAGTTTGAAAAGTATCTCCACCAGAACTGATAGGTTTCAGTTGAACCAACAAACTAATCTCTTTCCCACAGGGAAATCACAGGTGCAGAAACAGTCGTGGGCAGGAGGTCATACCAAGCAGTGGCTCTTTCTGTCCAGTCCAAGGTGTTCCTAAAATTTGCTGTGCTTAACCCTCAGCTCTGCACCTGCCTCTCCTGCTCCAGAGAGGACATCAAACCCACACCCTGTGCTAATCACAAGGCCCTAGGGCCACTCTGTCACCCTACAACCTGATAGGTATCTAACGCCCTCTTTGCAGGGCTTTCTAGGAAACCTGTCAGCCACCCTAATGTTCCTCCTGATTTAGCACTCTTCCATAATGCAGCTGCCTATTCAGCTCCAGAGCACAGTTATCCCTGGCTAGGGCAAGGAAATCCATGTCACACTAACCCATTTCATCCACAGCAAGCAGGACATGGCTCTCATTCCCCAAATCCGAGGCATGGAGGGCACAGATCTCTGTCTTGACTGCATCCCAAGCACAGATTTCCTTACAGTCACATGTGCTGAAGGCAGCCAGACCCACAGACACACCAACAAAGATGTATTTTCCAGACACTGCAAGGCAATTGGCTCTTCCAGTCACCTACCAAGAAAGGGAAAACATGAGTGTAGTACCTGACTGCCTTCCCAGAGGAAGATACATCAGCCATGCTAACGATATACTCACAGCCTTTCACCAACAGAAAATGATGATTTATTCCACAAGGGAAAAATTTTGACATGTGCTTTCACGAGAAGAGCAGGGGAGCATCAGAGAGCAGGCTCTCATCTCTGTTACAGAGATTGTTTTGTGTTGGGAATGAGAAAGTTTGTTCCCACCTTTCCCCTTCCCATAAACAGGAGGGGCTTTAAAGGCCAAGAGCTCAGGAGCACTCAGCCTTCCCACTGCTAACACAGAGCTGTGCTGAACCCCTCCAGGCAGCTGCAGCACACAAGTGTATCCTCCTGGATTCTCTACATAATGATGGAGAAGGCAGCACTGCCCTTCTGCTCACAGTGCTCCCATTGGAGTATTCACCACAGCACAGAGCTGAGCTTGCCCATTTATGTGCTACTGGCTAATTACCTTCTCCTCAGGAGACAAGGGTGGAGCCAGCCTGGGAAGCACAAGGTGAATTTAGTGGTTAATATCGGCTTCTCTCTTTTCAGAGAGGTGTGATAGACGAGTGGGAAGCAGAACCTGCCAGACAAGCTTAGAAGCTGCAGGCTTTTAAAGTGAACTAGTGAGATGGTGGGAGATCCTGAGGAAAGTCATGAACAGAAGAATGTAAAATCAACTGAAGGGATATTCTTTAGGAAAGCTGCTACAGTGGTTAATGCTGTCTCTGGTGTGGGGGGCTCTGTACCTGGAATTCAGCTGTAGGAGAGCATTTTGTGGGCTGGACCTTCCGTTTTTGTGCTTCTCGGAGCATCTCCCTTCTCTCAATGATTTCCATAGCACTCTCAAAGACCTGCATCACCACTTTGTTGATCATCCTGAAGGGCTGAGGCAACGCATCGCGCTTCCGATCAGGATCCTGCAGGAAGAAATCTTCCTCATCATCCTTCGGCCAGTCCTTTTCAGATGGTGGGGGAATCTCCAGGGGATGCCTCCGGATATTCGCAGCCATGGCTCTGCCCTTCCAGGTGCAAAGCACACCACAGATGCAGGAATCACCCTGGGTGCAGAAGAATGAAGAGTCCTGCAATATCTACTTTAATGAGGTAATGGGGGAAAAGATGATTAATAATCTCTAAGGGGGAGTTCCTTTCAGTACTGGTAGCCAGAGCAACCCTGTTCTGTACAGCTCGTTTCTGCTCGTATCCCCTCTGTTACCCAGGGGTTTTGTCCTGCTCTGGGAATATCAGTCACACGGGAATCTGCAGGCTGCCTGTGGGGAAAAGGGAGCCTAAAAAACTTCGGCACGAGTTTGTATAAAAATGATGACAAAGCTTCAAAAATATTAGCTTGAATTAATAGACTTATTCGGCCTGGGAAAAAAAACCCCCGACAATTAACTTGGAAGAGCAGGTGTTTCCACTGGAAGTTATAAACTTCATTTCCAAGCCACTGGATGCTTCATAAGCTTCACCCCCACCGCCGTCACCGCACACATCGGCCTGACCTCGGAGTGGGGCCGGAGGCCGAGGGTCCGGGACGTGCTCCTCCAGCTTTCCCGGCGGGACTCGCCGCAGGAGCCGCCGGCGGCTCCCGGGCGGGGGAAGCCTTTAGAGGTGACACCGTCGCGGCCCCGCTGTTGACGGTCGCCGTGGTAACGGCGCGTCGCTGCCGTGGCCCGGCCGGGAACGCGGCCCCGCAGCTCCCGCGTTCCCCTGGGGGGGCGGGGCCCGGGCGCAGCGGGGCGGAGCGGCCGCTGCCCCCGCGCAGCTCCTGCGGTGCCGCCGGGCCATGGAGGGGTTCGTGGGCTTCACCAACCGCTGCCAGGGCCGCGACCAGCTCTTCCGGTGAGTGCGAGCACAGGCTGCCTCTCTCTGCCCCCCCGGGTGGGGCGGGCCCCGGCCCCGGCCCCGGCCCCGCACCTGCCCTGGCACTGCGGGGGGACCCTCGGATCGGGCTTTAGGCTCGGACATTAAGCTTTACTCTGTCCAGTTCTGGGCTCCTCAGTACCAGAGACAAGGAGCTGCTGGAGGTGGTCCAGCGGAGGCCGCAAAGATGGTGAGGGGTCCGGAGCATCCCTGTTCTGAGGAGAGGCTGAGGGAGCTGGGCCTGGTTAGTCTGGAGAAGACTGAGAGAGGATCTCATTAATGTGTACAGATGTCTCAAAGGGGTGTCAGAGGATGGTGTCAGACTCTTTTCGGTGGTGCCCAGCGACAGGACAAGGAGCAAAGGCCATAAACCGAAGCACAAAAAGTTTCACCTCAACATGAGGAAGAACTTGTTTCGATTGAGGGTGGCAGAGCACTGGGACAGCTGCCCAGGGAGGTCATGGAGTCTCCCTCTCTGGAGACGTTCCAAACCCACGTGGACACGTTCCTCTGTCACCTGCTCTAAGTGACCCCGCCTGGCAGGGGGGTTGGACTGGGTGATCTCCAGAGGTCCCTTCCAACCTTAAATCTGTGTTTCTGTGAAATAAACCCACCCTGCTGCTGCCATCCCATGATTGTCCATGTCTCACCTGTGTCCCCTTCTCCTCGTTTTTTCCCTTCCAGAGCCACTCAGTACACATGCATGTTGCTTAGCTATTTAATAAAGAATAAGGCCGATAAAAAGAAGCTGGTAATGAAACTCAAGCAGTTGGAATCTAGCATGAGCTCTGGCCGGAAAAGTAAGTACCTGCTGTCTAGAGGGATAAAACCTTCTTTACTTGCTCCTTCCAGCAAAACAGCTCCTGGCCTTGTGTTTTCTGTAGTTAACCACAAAACTCTTTTAGTGTATTTACAAAGTTGTCAACAGGCCTTATCCCTGCCATGGCTTGTCAGGCTGGGTACAGCCAAATAGACACTTCTTTTTTCCTCAGCCTCCTCTCCAACTGGGCAGTCAGAATTTTGCTGAAAGAATGAGAGTAACAAAAGTTAACAGTCAGTTTGCTGCAGAGGTGGAGTTGTCATCTCTGTTCAAGGACAGACCAGAGTTACAAGGCAAGGCTGTCCAACTGTGTGCTCATTAGTCCTTCCAGCTGATGGGGTGAGACAACCCAGAGTTAAAGATCATCATCCCAATAAAATGAGCTCTGAAGGACCATCCTTCAATATGGCTTTTTATATATAATTTTTTTTTATGTCCTACTTCACATATTAATTTTCTCTAGCATTTATACTCTACTAAATCACCTACCCTCCATGCTTTCCTCACAGTCTGTTTGCATCACTCCATTCTGTGTCAGGGCTGCATCCACGATGGTTACGCTGTTGCTGTAGTTGTATCACTTGCTTTCAGGCTGATCTTACACCTACTTACCAGTTGCTCAATTCTGGAACAGCTGCAACGCATGAAGCAAATATTCTAATTTAATGTGTTGCCATGGGTTTGTTTATTATTCCAGTTTGCTCCAGAGTATGGCATTTTCTAGTGGAGAGGCCAGCTGGTTTATCAACAGAGCCATAATTCTCTTGCTTCTTCTAAACAAATCACTAATCGACATCAGGCCTAAACTCAGGGCTCTGGTAGTTCCACCGAGCTCAGGTGCTGCCAACATCTGTCACTGTGACAGTGCAGCAGGGTGTAAAAAGTGTTTTGCATAATATTGTATTAACATTCACGGGGACATGCCACAGGTGAACTCAGATATGCCATATATTGTAGCTTGCAATGGAATACACTGTTCCACACAGTTTGCAGGGAACTATGTGTCTCTGACAAATTCATGGGAGGGATTTGTGCTCAGCATGCGAATCACCAGCTTTCGCAAATGCTTAGGAAAGCTGAAGCTCCTGGTTGCAATAGGATTAATGCAGCAACATCTCGTGTCCACAGAGTTAGGTGAAATCCAGTGAAATGTACAGCTAAGATTAGAGGCTCTGTTTGTGTCCCCTTATTGCTGATGGTGACTCCTGCAGACCCAAGGGTGACACTGGTCCAGAGGACACCCAGGCACTGAGAACAGAGTGGCAGGAGGGGCTGCAAGTCTGGCTATTGACAAAATACGTGTGTAGGTCCTGGGCTCATGATGTTCAGACAGAACTGAGATGTTTAGACCCCATTCCTCACTAATACCAGCAAGTACTTAAGCATACAAACACCCAAAGCCCTCTAAGTTTTTTTTAAGCACATGTGGACAGTGACAGGCCGCGTTGTCCTGCGTAAGACCAGGCCATGCTAACCTTTGTGGGGTTTCTTGCAGTGTTCAGACTGGGCAACATGGTGCACGCCTTGGTGGCAGCCAGGAAAACTGCAGAGCTGCCAGATGTGGTTCCTCGTTTCTGCCTCACAGCCTCCAACCTGACCCGTGCCCTGTACTTCGTGTGCGACGCCGTGCTCTGGGTGAGGAGTGTCGGGCTCCAGCCCGACATCGACAAGCCCAAGTGGAGCAATTGGGCCACCAAGTGCTACTACTACTCAGTCCTGCTGAATCTAGCCAGGGATTGGTATGAGATCTCCCAGAGGCTGGAACAAGCTGCACAGGAAGAAAAGGCAAAGGAGAATTCCTGCTGGGACAAACACAACGGGGAGCTAAACTGTGTGAAATGTGGTGGTTCGCGCGGTTTTCTCCTCCTGCTCTTTCAGATCCTGAAAAGAAATCCTCCTTTGCTGCTGGACTTGGTGAAGAACCTCTGTGATCTCTCAGGCCCTTTGGATACACTGGGAATCTACAAGACCAACCCAGGAGTGATTGGTTTCTGCGGTGTCCTCTCCTCCCTGGTGGGGATCCTCACATTAGCAAGCCCACATCTGAAGCTTAAACAGTGACATAAAAGGAGCTGCATAGTATGAGGCTGCAGCTTTGATCCTCTGATAGATTTTTATCTTCATATAGCACTTTCAAATGAACCTGTCTTACAATAACCTCAAGATTAATTCTGTCTTTTGAATAAGTGAATTCTACCCTTCTTCCTTTCCTGTGCCTTTGCAGATGAGTTTGGTGCCATTACACACCCCCTAATGGAGTGGAGATAGGAAAAGGCAGAGTAATATTTCACCAGCAGAAACAAGACTTAGAACATGGCTGCTAGATAAGGAAATATTCCTTTATTTTAATACAGGGTTGTGAAATAGCTGCATAGGCAACTGTCATAGGTACATGATTGATGACTAATCATGTTTACACTGGAAAGCTGCAATTCACTAATTCAAGATTTCTACGGTCAGATTGTCTGTACTGGGCTCAGGCAAGTTAGGAGCTGCTGTTAAAATGGCCTGAAGTCAAGGATGAGTGTTTTGATGGGTTTGGGTTGATGGATCCTGTTTCCTGCAGGCAGTGGTCTGGGTGCAGTGTGATGGTAACTGAAGAGAGGTATGATCTGACCTTCGATGATCTCTGTGGTGTGCACTGGTGGTGCTGGAGCTGTAGTCTAGTGAGTGCCAACTTGTGTCCCAAGAAATCAGCACTTTCTTCTTTTCCTTTGATACTGTGAGCCAAGGACCATTGGCCAGTGACTCTGACTCCTCCAGCAGGCCATGGCTGAGGGTTTTGGTGAAGGACTGTGTGTAGAGAAGCTCATTTGATTGTTGGTGATGCCATGATTTGTAGGGAACTGGGTTTCCAAAACTGTGAATCTGAAACCACTCATGAACACTAAACCTCCCATTACACAAGCACCTGAACTTCCAAACCACTGTGACTGCAAGTGCAACAATTTTCCATTAATTGTGTTGTGATAAGGAGCTTATTTTGCAGTTTTAATTTTACATGAAAAATTCCAGTATAATAAGGAGTTTGGAACCTGCACTTAAGGAGAGAAGCCTGGCTCAGAGCTAGTTGAGTCAGACAGACTGCAAGGGTGTGTTTCTAATTGTGTAAGCTCCCAGAGGGAAGGGAATGGAGCTAGTCACGATAATATCTGGATCCCTTGTGAGAAAAGCTTCTTACTGAATTTGGGCATTTATGGTTTAGATTTTCCTATCTGGTCCTCCCTATCCTCCCTGTTCATGACCACAAGATTTCTTGTGTGTTCCCTTGCTGGCTGAATGGGTTTTACCATTTGAAAATGCCTCATATTTGCCCTGCAAGTGCATTATTGTTCATCACTGACCTCACTGGGAATGATGCCTGGCAGTACAATTAGGTTAAAAGAGAAATGCTGTGTCCAGCTGTCTAACATGGCATACAGTCTTTGCTGCTCCTGACTTTGCAGAGTACCAGTTTGGACACCATCTGAGAAAAAATGCACATTATATAGGAAATAAAATTAACATTTTTCTTCATCAGAGTGAGGCCTGTGTGTTCTGCTACTTTCTGGTGTAAGAACTCCTTGTTTAATCTATCAGGAGATGTGAACAGACACTCTTACCTGGACCAAAGTGTTCTCTTATTATTTCTGATGCTATCTGAAAACACAAATTAAAAGATGCTGGTCTCTTTTATTAAAAGGCAAAGGTTATGGAATTAAGTAGGCAGGTAAGGCAGTGCCCCAGTTTACCTTAAGTCATTGTGGCTGGGCTTGGAATTACTTCCAGTTTGAATATGAAGTGTTAGCCTGCCAGTGAAGTGTTTGAAAAGAAAGAGGTTGCTGGGCAGGATAATTAAGTGTTCTTGAAGACCAGATGTGGCCTGCAGCAGCTCTTCTTTTTAATATGGAAATGAATAGCATTAAAAGTAGAGCATACTGGCAGTTCAGACCATAATGGAGC